TATGTATGTAATATTGATCCGGTGAAGGGAGATCGCATTCGAGCTCAACAGAAATAAGGACAAGAAGACAAGCAACAGCAACGTTCGGTAGCTCGCAAGCTCAAGTTTTCTCGCTCTGTCCACGGCGATATGCCGAAAGTTCACATTATCTGAAGAAGTAGAAAAGACTCAAGATAATTATCAGCTATATCTGTGAATACATCGTCTGTATTCAACTCAAGAGTACGATGGATATCGTTTTTTCACTGCATAGCTCTATGGGTTTCGAGCCGAGGAATTTTGGTCTCATTCTAACTGAATTATTTGAATTGTTAGGTCAAAGACATTTGGCGTTTTTCTTTATAACGATTTATTGTATAGAGCTCATTTTCTGCTGCTTGGATAAAACTGAAAAGGAAAAAAAGCGTAAAAGCACTATTTTTTTTGAAATATTATCGGTTTTCGAACAGAAGCAGATGAATTTCTGCCTAGTTCCGTCGTGTCTTTCCCCGTGCCCAACGGCTATATCTTTCTTTTAGATAGAGAACACAAGCAAAATGACAAAAAATATTATCGAGGGACGCGGTGTTCTTTGTGGAATACATATTCAGAACACATATTCGATTAACGTTTTATGATATTTTTTAAAAATGGATACACATCCGGCCAACAATTAGTTTTTCAGAAACTCTAAAAAGTAACCAAAACCTTTCTTACACAGACCATTTGTACATGTTTATTGGGCTGAAACGCTGTGGAAAAAGCTGGTTTTATTCTCCTCCTCCCCGCATGCCACTTATTTTAGGGCAGGTTTAATAGTAATAGGTTGTGTGAACAGTAACTTGTTCCCGTTTGAAGGAACAGAGCTAATAAAGCAAGTTTTGCAATTTAATATAAATTTAATCAAATATAAATTCCACCCGAGTTAATTTATTTTAAATTTAAACATTAAGAATTTAACCTGTGCATTTAATAAATTTAGAGTAAATAAATATAAATTGACGCTTCTAAGGTCAAATTTAATTTTGATCGGTTCCAGTTGGAACGGGTTCCAGTATTTCAGCTTGTGAGACCGACCCACTGGAACTGGTGCATCCTAAGTATTATCTAGTGTATTGGAAAACGATTAGAAATCGAAGTGAACAACTGGAAGTTTATGAAATTCACGCTCTGAGTTAACTTGAAAATGAACACCTGACATATATATACATACAGTAGTAAAAGTTCTTATTTATAATATCAGTATAGAACATGTAAGATATTAATGATGACAAAAACAGGCTACACTAGTGTCGTTAATTCAGCGTATCTCTTGTCGTCTTCTACTTCGATAACAGGGGACTTTTCAAGGACTTTCGGGGACTTTCGGGATTAGGTGGTGAATCTAGAATAAAAACGCGTTACACTATGAAAAACGAGACACATTTTCATATTATACCAAGTGGTAATTTTCGTTATGTACACCAAAGAAGAACTTCCATAACCATCCACAAATACGATTACGTGTCATTAAGATATCAATTCGAGGTGCTGTTTCAATCTACAGAAAGAGGCAGGAAGCCATAACGTTATTTATGCAAACAAATACCGTTCATACCATGGGATAATGTTCTAGCAATTCGATAAATGAGCCAATCCACATGTTCGATGTTATATATGGAATGAATCAATACAAAGTAACATTTAATGACGTGCCACCATAGACAAAGAATCCTAACAAATTGATGAAATAAATAAATCATCATCTTAGAATGCTGGTTATGCTAGGGTATGTGCAAGATTTTCAAAGTGTCAAAAAAAATCACATACTTTAGTAATGGTTCGATGTTTACATAAATAGGTTAAGTATTTCCATGATGATCGTGGTGTAAACAAGTTTTATATATATTGTTTTACGTTTTTCGCCACAAATGCCATTTTCGAATAATCAAATCTGACAAAGAAAAAGACTGTTTATAACACTAGTAGTAGGCAAACGAAACCTAAGATATTACATAGTCCGAATCTTGAGGTGTTCCTAGATGTGGATGATAATTTCGAACATGTGAGGCTTGATATCCATAAAAACTTTGAAATACCAAGTAACCATAGAAAACCGTACCCAATATAAAATTCAATTTTTATTACTAGCGAAACACTGATGTGATGCTTGATGTAAGCAATCAGCCAGACCATCTTGTCTCGTACCAATTGTCAAAACGGTTATGAAATAAACAACGACCGTTAATGTTGCTGATAAGTTCAAACTGTAAACATGCTGTGACAGCAAAATAAAGAAAAATATAACTGCCCAATCTTCGACAACATCTAATGCACCGTGCTAATTATCACTTTTCTGTTTTATTGTGTGCTTAAAAATGTCAGCAGCAATTAAATCGCTGAATTTGTATCTTTCAAATGATGACTGAATTTTTGATCCGTTATTCATACTGTTTGAGTTTTCTTTTAAGTCCAAATGTTGTCTTGTTCAAAATTTCCTGCAATATTTATATGTCTTATTAGCTTCGTTGTGTCTCCTTATTAATAGTTAGTCATTGTACAATTACAAATATCTAGGCATAGTAAAAGTTGCCCAATATAATAACCGCTTTGCAGGTGCTGTTTTTTCCAGTATGTATAATCACATTTTCGTCCTCTGAAACACGTCACTTTTAGTCAAGGTACTAATAGCATTGCTGATGCAGAGCCTCTTGTTGGAAAAACGTGACATGACACATTCAACACACCGTACTCAGTGAAGATGTCGTAAAAGCAATTTGTACGAGGATTTCTTCTTGCGGAGCAGTTACATTTCTAGAACTCTTACTGAATAGTAATAAAGTTGCTGTACTTGCGCTACCTCTTTGTCAATCAGTTTTTATTAAATAACAGCTTAGCCAAGACGTATTTTCAGTCAAGGTTCTGCGGATCCCAGATGAAGATTAGTTGTTGACATGTACATATGAGTATGATAATCTGAAAATAAGTTTATGACAAGATATAGACATTTTTCGTTGTCGACTCTTTTATTTTTGATTGCAGTCAGAGCAAGAAAAATATTTCAGTCCCTGTAGTATCACAAGGATGTAGTGGAAGTGTTTATCCATTCACACAAATCGACTATGTGTGTTGAATGTGTCTTGTCACGTTTCCCCAACAAGCGACTCTGCGTCGACAACGTTATTAGTACCTTGACTGAAAGTGACGTGTTTCAGAGGAAGAAAATGTGATTACACGTCAAGTTCTGTGAATGAGGCAGAATGGCTGAGCCCCAATTCTCTGTGCATCAAACAGAACCGAACTGATCGTTGCTACATCCTAATAGTCACTAACAATAAAGCGATCTTACACCGAGGATACTCACAATTATTATAAAAACAGCAACCTTTGATGCATTTCTCACTTCTGTGCATTTTTATTTTGAGATATTTGCACAGTAAACATCGATTGCGAGAAAGAACATAGAAAAAGCCCTTAGATATAGTGCATTTTTTTAGAAACAGGACTTTTTTAATCTACACAAAATGCCTGAAGAAACAAAATTTATATTTAGGAATTTATATTCTCTCACTCACTGGAACTGCTGTGTACTTTGCAAATTAGTTAATTTTGTTCTTAGATTTAATTCTGCTTTGAGAAACTTAAAAGAGCAGATATGACCTAGGTAGAAGAAATAAGTGTCTGATATAACAGATAGACTACTGCTTTTCGTCTCATTTAGAATGAGAAGAAAAGCTTTGTAGCGTCATCGCAAACGTGGCTGCCATAAAAGTCTATGTGTATCATATAAATTCTTCTTTTAAAAATGTTAGACAAGTGCGTTTATATGAAGCATGTTTTTCTTCGTTAGAAATTTACATAGGATAAAATGCACGTGGGATATAAACGAAATTAAAAACATCGAACGATAAATATCTGCTTCTTCTGTTTTCTTTAACTCAGAAAGAAATGCTTTTTAGAGATGCATGTACTCCTGCTATGTAATCTATCTTACCACACTTTTATAAGATTTTTCTTCAAACGAAGAAACTTCATATGAACGCATATAATTGTTTTATCTGTATCACGAACGCAGTACGATCTCGTCTGAACCGCGAACACGATACGATTTGATCCAAATCACGAACGCGACGCGATCCAAGCCAGGAACTCGAAACGACCTGATCTAAATCGCGAGCGCGATATAACCTGATGTAAGTCGTGAACAAGACGTGATTTGTTTTTAATCACGATCACGACATAATCTGAACCGCGAACACGACGTGACTTGGAGCACGAACGCGGCGCAGGAGAATTATCGCTGCGCGATCGCCAAGTTTTCACGGAACCCGCAAACTTCGCGGCAAGAAAAAAGCGCGAATGTAACTAGGGCATTTTCGGCTTGTTTTTGTTCATTGAAAATTTTTGTACGAATTTTGAATAACACCTAAAAAGACAATAAGAGAGAACACTGTTATCTTTAGGGGTGAAGAATCGAAGCATAAGAAAGCGTCCTTTCTTATCTCTGCCACCAAATAATTGATCAAACTAATATTTCTTGATTTTGTTGTTATAAGTTATGTGATTATTAAAATATGACTTTAATCTGCTAACAGTAATTTTATTATTATGCAATTGTCCTGCATTGTACGCAAAGGCAACCGATTGTAAAAGTTCGTCCCAATTATCCAATTCTTGGCCTTGTAACTTGACCAGTTGAAGAACGAAAGTAGCATTGAACACTACTCAGTAAGTTTGAAGATGATAACAGATAGAACAAACATGATTGTACCCCAATAGTAACATCATTGCATGCATTAGTTGGTTGGAGAAATGTGAACCACGATCGGATAATATTGTAGTTGGCACACGATATTTACACATGTATTCTTCAAAAAATGTTTTAGCAGTTGTTTGTGCTGAACAATTCGGGAGTGCGGTGGCAGTGACCCACTCTGAAAAATGATCCGTTAAATATAAAACGCATTTATTCTCATTTGCAGTAACTGGGAAAGGACCGAAAAAATCAAGACCCAAAACTTAAAATGGACCGCCTGATGGTGTCAGGCTTCTTGTGCCGGCTGTAATTGTGTTGTTTGCACAGTTGGCATAATTGAACATAATCTTCAATTGTTTGGCGCATATTAGGCCACTAATACCTATATTTCATTTTTAGATACGTTCGTTGTGCTGCAGTTGGATGGTCGTGGTAAGATTTCAAGGCAGATGGTGTCATTGATTGTGGTAAATAGATTAATGCCAAATTTGTTTTTCCGCCCACTATAACCTGTAATTAATAGAAAATTGCGTCTTCCAGCACATAAGGATGTTTGTATGGTGCTTTCTTTACTTCCTCAACTTTTACTTGTATTACTGGATCTTTATCTTGCTGCTCCTTGAGAGTATTTATATCGAAATAATCTAATATCTGTTCTGAATGTGTTCTAAAAATATTTCTTCAAATGCTTGAGTTCTTTCATTCACACTGTTATAGTTATTTAAAATTTGATTTAATGGAATTTTTCTAAACCGTGCATTGAGCATATCCTAATTCACTGACCATAATCATAGACAGTTCGATTCACTTTATTTTTCCGTCTAAGAGATAAATTGAGATCGAATTCTACAAAATTGGGGTCACTTCTATTTCAAAGATGGTTCAATCGTTACATAGTTATAAACAATGAATTGAAAGTTATTACTAAATGGAGACATGTTTTTGATGCATCGCGAGTTACACCGAAGTCAAGTTGAGATAAATTCATAGACTCAAGAAAATTATTTAATAAAATACGCTCTTTTGTTGAAATGACTTCGGTGTTCACCCATGGTTGGACGTGTGCATTAAAATCGCCTACACAAATTAATAAATCATCTTTATATTTAGATTTTCCAACCTCGTCAAGAATAGTATCAAGTCGCTCTAATAACTTTTCATAGCAGTAGTTTTTGGGCGGTGTACATTCAGTACTATAAAATGCTTGTTGCTTGCATTCTGAATTTGGGGCGTCTTTAGTTCCAAACCAAACTTCATGAGGGAGTACTATCTGCTCCATAAAGAATAGCAGTAAGCGTTATTTTTCTCCTGCTTAAAACGTTTAAATATCCGTTTCTTTCAGATATGCAAAGCAGTTATGCCGAACAAGAAATGAGCTACAACCAATATCAGGCAAATTCTGATGGAAGCAATTATCAGTACACGAGAGCAGAAGAGGATAACGAAGGTATGCTACCAAGGACTTATTGCCTCTTATTACCATATTTTTTCATGTACACGATTATGAATGTGATGTACATCGCTCAGAAAAATGTTATGATTATGCACAAATTATGAAGATAGATTTTGAACCCAAATCGTTGAGTGAAGAGGACGAAAATATAAATATACAATTTGTCAACTTCATTCCGACGGCAAATCTCGACAAGACAATCACTGACAGATTGCTACGTCTTTCAAGAAAGTTGGTAACAATGAAAAAATACCTGCAACGAGTGTTCAACTATGGAAAGAACTTGGTGTTCAGTTCACGTATCGTACTTTCATATTCTGCTCTACGTGCATGCAACAACTACCAAACATCCGCTCAAAATGCTCAAGCGACGAGTGTTTGACCAAGAAGCAAATGATAAATTCAGAGTTTGTGCTCATGTCAATTCCTGATGAACTGCGTCGAATGGTCAAATGCAACATTCAGTTAATCCAATGGTATCAAGAAAAGGTAACGATGATGACCGCATGTGATATTGTACTGGCTATGTTTCACAAGAAAATATATTCTGATATTTAGTTTATCTCTTATAGGTGACATTACCGTGAATCCGCAACAGGAAGACAGTGTAAGTTTAAAGATTTTAACAGATGGCAAACCAATGATTAGAGCAAGTAAAAGCAGCTTGTGCCCTGTAAAAGAATATGCATCAACTAAATTTACTACAGTATAATGTCTATCTTTTCTTCTCTTTTGCAGGTAATGGCAGTTGTTGCAGAAATAACGCCTTCCGTGAGAGAGTTTCAAAGTAACGTTGTCCTTCTTGGATAGAGGCACTCGCCCATTAGCCCGAATGACGATATTCTTTTGGGATCCATCAATCGAACGTATTTCTCAACCAACATACTGCTATTATTTATTTAAAAAAAAAAAAAAAATTTACAAAACAAAAAATTCATTCAAAAATTCAAAAACATTTTTGAATTTTTTGTTTGGTTTCGTGTTATATTGTATCAACGAGTTCAGTTTAAGAAAATAAACAGTTCAGTCAAGTAAAAAGCTGCCTCGAGTTTTGAACACATGCCGCTTTTCAAGTTCAAGATATCCTATTAATTTAGTAGCTCTGTTTTTTCCGAAACCTTTCTTTCGTTCTGCAGTCGAAGCAAAAAGCTATACTGAGTCAGTAGCAATTTATTTTTTCCGTTGAAGATGCTTTTTAATGAATAACTCTGATCTGAATTTTTTTCAGAATCTGAATGAAAACATTTGATGGGCTGCTATTCTTCTTATAAGGTGCTCGTATTACTTGAGAGTCATATCAAAAAGCCCGTCCCATCCCAAGAAGCAAAGTTTTTTCTTAAAAAACTGGTTTGGAGCTGTAAACATAGAAACGGATACTAGTAATGGCTGTTTGTCTATTAGGAATGTATGACTAATACGTAGCCATAATGGCCTAACGAGAGACTTATCAACGAGTTAGTTAGATAGGAAATAGTGTACATAGGAAAATATTTTTTTAAAAAAGAAATGACATCAGCAGGATGAAAGTATTCAGTTCTAATGAAAATTTACTAATCGCCATCTTCTACATCAGCTAGTAAAACTATCAGGCAAAACGCGGATATCATCGACTAAAATAGAGAATCAATTAAATTTATTTTCAATAAATGTTTACTAGCGCTACGTTGAATATCACGGAGAATTGACTACCGGTCAATCATAACCCTTCAAAAAAGTAAATAATAATGATAAGAGTCTACAGATAGGAACTGACTCTTTCTAGCCCCAGATACTGAAAAATGCGTACATAAATTTTATTCATTGAAAAATATTTTTTCAAATTAGTTTGCTGTCTGACATGAAATTACAAAAAAAGCATTGACTTCATTCTTCGCAATGGCATCCTCTATTTCGTGGCAAAGACATTTCAGGAATCTCAAGTTATTCATGGGTAAGAAGTCACTTTTAGAAATAACATTGTCTTAAAATGAACATGTTTTTGGATCTAAGTCGGTTTGCCCGTTTTTGACTGTATGGCCAATTGTTCAAGCCAATGTTGATGTTGTGCATGCATTCGGCTGGGAAAAAATAGTTTTCCTAATCGGGAAACGAAACCATGTTGAACTTCTTCTGTTCGTACTATACAACCACCTTTTCCATTTGGCATGATTAACCATGCATGATAAACGTCGAGACCAAATCCCTTCCCGGTCCACGCTATTCGTTCATTTTCAACGTATTCTTTCACTTCTGATATCAAACTTACATCAAATGTTTTCCATCTAAACACTGTATCAGATTTCAGAATAGGCCCACTTTCATTTTCATATTGAACATTCGACGAGTTGCTATAATATTCCGGCCATTTTCGAGCATGTATTAACCATTGCCAGACGACATCTGCGGACGAATCCATTTCAAGTTCGTTAGTGACGTGAACCGCACATCTCGATGGTTCATATTCAACTGGCCATATGATTTTTGCCTCCGATGAAGACATTAAAAGAAAGATATATACTTTTTTATCAAAAAGTTTTTCCTTTCTATGTCAGAAGAGCGTGAGAATAGTTCACCAGTCAAACGGGTTGAGTTGATTAATTAACGTCCTTAAATTTATGTTATGATTTTACTTTATTATATATTTTGTATAATGGAGATTATATCATACACGTCCACGTGTACAATGAAAACAAAAAGGTAGAAATAATATTATTTTGCTGCGTCAGAATGAGAAAGAAAAAAGGTAAATTTTATCATGGCAATGAAATGGAAGGTTGATAAGAGTATTAATATAAAAAATGCCGTATGAAAAGTTGCACTACACTAATGTCAATATGTATTATAAATTATCTAGGATTATTTTTCTCTTTTGTTACTCATGAGCTGTTAACTGGAACACTCTTACTCCTGGTAAATCGTGTCCTGAAATACTGTTTAGAAGTGGATCTGACCATAAGACAGACTGATCATAGTGACCATAAGACAGACTAACCATAGTGACCATAAGACAGACTGAAATACTGTTTCTCGCTCACACTCTCGAAAGAGAAAGTACCATTGTAGGACAGGTCGAACTGTGAAAGTATTTCTGAAACGGTCTAGTCCTACCGTCTTACAGTGGGCATTTAGGCGGCGTTTTCTGAAAAAATCGTAGGTGCGAATTTTTTTGTTTTGAATAGTGGTGTATATAGTATAAACAATTCCCTATTTAATGATAAAAAAATTTTTGTTCTAGCTCCTT